ATTTTGTTTCTGTTTTAAGATTGCTTGCATTCTGTTGGCTACAACATTCCTCTTATAGACTCATTTTTCTTTCTTTTTTTCTTCACTTTTTTTTTATTGTAGTGGACTACCTAAAGCTGTAAAGCTAGAAAAAGAGAATTGGACCAAGTCATCTCAGTATAATTGGCATTGCATTCTCTTTTACCTTGTACTCACTGGGAAGAAAGGAAGAAGGAACCATTAGGGAATGGACAGGGTGAAAGACTGAGAGAAAGAGCTTTTAATTTAGCTTTGAGTCCTGAGTGAGGTTAATGTAATGCCCAAGACTCATCAGAAACTGATGGAAGTTCAAACTGAATCTCGATTCATTACTGATTTCCCCTTTGAATGCTTTCCTTATTTAGAGGTCCTTTTCTTTCAGCTTTGTATGAGGAAGAACTATAATAAAACAAAGCAAACACACTAGAAATTATATTTTTACAGGTAGAGCAATGTTCAAAAAACCTTATGAGCACTGTAATTCCACAGTTTGGCCTTAAGCCTTCTGAATAAGATAAGGAGTCCCTTGTAGTTTCTTCTCACATCTTGAGAGGATGTTTTGTTTCTTTCTCTTTTGGGGGACCTCAAAACTTACTAATATTTCATCAAAAGCTCCTCAACTATTTTGAGTTTGTAATTGTTCTTTATTCACCCTTTTTTCCCACCTTTCAGGTCACAGCAACACACTCCAACTGTATCATTAAAAAGGAGCAAGAGACTTGTCTGGAGAAGATACGAAGGGCAGCTGCCCTGAACCCTCTCAATGACTCTTCTCCTGGTGAGTTCCAGCCTGGGATAGCACATGTACATTGAACTGATGGTTTCTAAACTTATCCTGTTATTTGAGGGTGGGATTCAAATAATATAAATGCAGAAAGCTTATTGTAATATGTTATTGCAGTTAACTAAGAGAGACATTATAAGGACAATGAATCAGTCCGTGGGGAAGTTTGCTGATGATACAAACTGGGAGGAGTGGCTGAGGCACCAGAAGGCTGTGCTGCCATGGACAGGCTGGAGGGTTGGGTGGAGAGGAACCTCATGAGGTTCAACAAAGGCAAGTGCAGGGTCCTGCACATGGGAGGAATAACGCTATGCACCAGGACAGGCTAGGGGCTGATCTACTGGAAAGTAGCTCTGCAGAAAAGGACCTGGGAGTACTGGTGGACAACAAGTTGACCCTGAGCCAGTGGTGTGCCTTTGTGGCCAGGAAGGCCAATGGGATCCTGGGGTGCATTGGGAAGAGTGTTGCCAGCAGGTGGAGGGAGGTGATCCTGCCCCTCTCCTCAGCCCTGGCGAGGCCTCACCTGGAGTCCTGTGTCCAGTTCTGGGCTCCCCAGGACAAGAGAGACATGGAGCTCCTGGAGAGAGTCCAGCAGAGGGCTGCAAAGATGATGAGGGGACTGGAGCATCTGTCCTCTGAGGAAAGGCTGCGAGAGCTGGGCCTATTTAGCCTGGAGAAGAGAAGACTGAGAGGAGATCTACAAGTATCTGAAGGGAGGGTGTCGATAGGATGGGGCAGACTCTTCTCCGTGGTGCCCAGTGACAGGATGAGAGGCAACAGGCACAGACTGAAACACAGGAAGTTCCATCTGAATCTGAGGAAAAACTTCTTTCCTGTGAGGGTGGCAGAGCACTGGGACAGGTTGCCCAGAGAGGTTGAGGGGTCTCCTTCGCTGGAAATATTCAAAAGGCATCTGGACAGGGTCCTGTGCAATGTGCTCTAGATGACCCTGCTTGAGCAGGGAGGTTGGGCTGGATGACCTCCGGAGGTCCCTTGCAACCTCAGCCACTCTGTGATTCTGTGTGATTCTGTGATGTTCCCGCACAATTGCTGGTTACTATCTAAGGTCAGGAATTGTCTTCATTATACAACGTGATATGGTGAGATACATCGGTGACACTTATTGAAAAACACACAGATGTGCCTGGGAAGACCTTAATAGGGTTTGTGCCTTCTTCTGGTGCAGTTGGCAGCAGCTGTCAGGGACTGGGCATAAGACCAAGTGCATCATTTGTTCTGTAACAGCAATTGCTCTATCCCCTTCACTATCTCAGCAATAATTTGTGCCACTGTCTCCCACGATCTAAAGATCTTTACAGAATTTAATGCTGTGGTGACTGTAATCTCAATAAGAAATAGCTGTGCTATTGCTGCAATAAGAAACTGAGGCAGCAATCAAAGAATAAATTAATAGTTTAATATCCTGTCTCATTTTCCACTGACTGCCGCAGGAGCTGCATGTGGCCTACACCAAACAAGAGAAGGGCAAAGAATGACAAATGAACTAATCGGAAACCAAGATCCATTTTCTGAATCTTACCCAAATTGCTTGTACTGTGACTTTAATTGGTAAAACTTCAGAGAACAGCAGATAAAATATAGTGGACTGTGGTAAAAGAGGAAAGGCATCTACCCCCCTTTCTAGGCTGTATTTTCTAATCTGGAAGCAAGGGAGGGCAAGGTGCAGAAATCTATGTTACCAGAGCATCCTCTATAGGAAGCCATTCCTTCATTTGAACTGCCAGGAATATTCCCATCAGAGTCCTGATGTTCAGGTAATACATCATCTCATCTTTATTCTGCTTCCCAGCTTCTGGCAAATAAACCTTGTGGTTTGATAGAACAAAGGAAAACATGTACTTCAGGGAGTTCATTTCAGCCCTAGTGATGCTCACGTGTGTTTGAGATCCTCTTTTTTCGTTACAGAAGACCTTCCCAATTCTTCCTCTGCCCAAAAGTGTCATAAGCAAGGAGAGAAGGAGAAAAACAGATTCTCCCCCGTAGAATGATGTCGAAAGCTGCTCATGATCCATCCTTCTAATGATTATGCCATGATTATTATTTTGACTCAAGAATTCAAAGGTTTTCCAAAGCCAAAAGAGATCATTCCATCAGCTGGTTTGTTCCTTATGACTCAGATCCAGAGGGTTCTCCCTTTATTTTGATAGTTGGGGGACTATTCAGAGCCAGCTCTTCCCTCCTCTCTGTTCCAAATTCGAAGAACACAGCTTAGACACAGGGGACGTTCAGGGCCGTTGGAAGAAGATGATTTCTAGTATATTTCTCATATAAAAGCCACTTCATTCCTTCAGCCCTCTTTGTTGCTCTTTCTGCATAATCTTTTTTTTGCTTTTGTAGATGTGTTTTAGATGTATTGTCTGTTATCTCTGATAGATTAATAGACCCATCTCCTGGGTCTATTAGTGGAATGGAGCGCTATTCACCTTGGCCGAACCTGACTCTTAAATTAACAGTTACCAAGCACTGTTTGGAGTAGTCTGATTCTGAAACTCCCAGAAGAGGTGGTAACTGCCCATAGGTTGAGTCAGTCATATTTATGGTGTGCTGATCCCTCTCAGTTTCCACCTGCTCTGGAAAAGCTATTTTTCACTTGGGAGAAGTGAAAATTGCCATTATGCTGGGGTTTTTGGTTATTCATCTGAATCATTAAGACTTATTAAGGTGAGGGGAATTGGAGAAATATACCATGACTTTGTTTCCCTTCAAAGAAAGTGTAATATAGGAAATAACTCTCCTGCTGATCAGACACAGCTGGGAGAAGAAAGACATGCCTCCTGGCTGATGAGTAAACTTTAGTTTATTCAAGAGCAAGGATGAGCATAAAACTATTTCTTCCTGCTTTTGACTACCTCTCTATGCAAAATTCTATGGATAACTTTATATGTAAATTCGCTGAGGATTTATTTCTCCTCAGAGGAAATGCAGGACGCAAAATAGGATAAAGTTTTAGGGAGTATATGGAGGCTCAGGCACATGTGCAGGTTAGTGTGACTTAAAAAATTGCTGCACATCAGCTGAACCAGAGTAACCTCTGTAGGCAAGGCAGCTCCCTTTTCTTTTGTTTCAGGTGATACCAAGTCAAATGACCCTATATGAAGATTGTGCCTGGGACATGAGCACTCTTTGCGGTCTGTTTTTCTACAGTACCTAGCACAATAAAGTTATGAATCCTACTCTAAAGTACCCCCACGGAGCAAAAAGTAGTAATAGTAATAGTAGGTGCTCTGCTCCTGTTTAGAGACTTGGTCTTGTGCACTGATATTTATTCCAGCTATTAGTACTGAATGGAAAAAATGCACTTTGAAATTAAAGGTGGAGTGACACCCTATGGGTTCCCACCTCTGCATTAACTCAACTATCCTCCCTCTGCTTTACCCCCTTGCTGTGTTCAGCATCTGTGAATACAAACATCAACTAAATGGTTCCCCAGAGCTCCTCTGGGTAAGGTCCAACACAAGCACAATATTGATGCTGCAACTCTAACTACAGATCTTGAAGAGCAAGGCTTGCCCTGTAGGATGGAAAGCAGCCAGCCCACTGAAGTGTTAGGGCTCTGATGTTTTCCCCTTTCCCTCCCCCTCAGGCTCTTATCCCCAGACGCTATATTCATTGCTGTTTTATTCTTCGCAGCAGTTTTCTCTTCTGATGCTGTGCAATGCCTATAATGCTTCGGAAACAATGATTACCTTGAGATTTTCTATTTGCTTTATGTGAGCTTCATCATGGCTTTTTCCTCTTAAATGCTTTAAAATTATTCAGGAGCATTTGTAAGAAAAGAGATAAGGGGCATATACTGACCCTATGTCTCCATCCCCTACCAATCATCACCTACAAAGCCTGAATGGAAAAGAGAACTTGAAGAAAATGAAATCTCAGCAGGACTCAGCATCTGACCCTTTCCCTCTGGAGAGGGAATTAAAGTGACAAAGGAAGATAATGAAAGCTGAAGACGGAAGAGAAAGAAAGGAGGGGAATGTCCTTGCTTCAAGTTCAACCCTTATCAAGATGAGGGACCTGGCTATTTCTTACAACAGTATCTCTTTATTTCAGTTTTTGTCCCTATTCTGACATAAATCTGCACTGAGTTCCTGTTGGAACCTCTTCTATCTGTCAACTGTCCTCGAGGGTTTTTCTACTACCTGGCAATCAATAAAGGACACTGCTGATCTGTATACACCCTTCTTTTTTTTTCTCTCTCTCTTTCTTTTTGTCTTTTCTTTTTTCCATCTAGCTTCTCTTGGCCTTTTCCCAGCCACGGGGCTAGGAAAGAATGGTACAGAAGTACTCAGACGCTGAATAAGAGTTTATTGGGCCATGTACACTTAGTATGGGACTCATCTAATTAAATCTGGATATCTGCAAATGTATCTGCTATAACTGAACAATTCAGTATGTTCCTTTCTAGGCTTGGATACCTAATAAGTGGAGTCTGGAGCATAATTTGTCTCACCCTCAAAGTAGACTAGATGAGTTGTGCCCTAAAAGTGCTTATTTTTCTCTATGGATGTATATGGAAGTGAGGGTGACCATCTCCGCTATATTTACATTGTACATGTCTACATTTCTTCAGAAGAATCCTTTAGTGTTTGACTGTACAATGCTGACTAGGTCCTGCTAGAGATTTAAATTACCTGAAACAATCTGGACCATGATTCTCACCACAGGATATATTTTAATGTAGATGTCAAATTCTGGATATCTGATGTCATCCACATATTTAACAGCAGTAGAACTACTCACACTTATTGAGCAGTTTTTGCAATCAATGATTCCTTGAGTGATGACCTCAAAAGACAGGCTGATGCGTAGCACCCTATAGATTCACATTTGTCCTGTGCATGCATTGAAAGAACCTCCCGTTTGCCTCCTGCTTCCAGGTAGGCTGGTAGCTCACCCAGCTGCGACTCCCTGCAACACCAATGGCCTTACACAGCTGATAGGCTTGATGTGGGGTCTATGGCCAGTTGCATCTG